TTTATCTTTTTTAGACTTATACTAAGATTGAAACTCTCTTACTATATAAAAGGAAAGTTTTTCTTTTGTAACACACATTGTAACACGCAATTCAAGGCAATAAAAATTTATCTTTACCTTCTAGCTACTGTCAAGAACTTTATACTTGTTCTATTCTTCATTCAGTACTGGGTACAAACCGAGGGTCCAATCGAGGACGAGGCCATTGTTCAATACAAGATCAAGCTTGGTCATAACACCACGATTTGTTTGATCATTTATTTCTTCTTTAATTCGTTTATCTGCTATGCTTAATTATTCGAGTTGAATTAAACCACGTATCCTTAAAACTGCGTACAAATTTAATTGTTACCTAATTTTGGAGTAGACAGTTTGGCGCCCACCGTGGGCCTAAGGATAATAGTGGTGATTTGATATGAATCTCTATAACACACCCTATTTTACGCTTGTTCTTTGAAATCTTGATTTTAGGTCAGCCTAAAAATGTTAAACTCTCAGTCTGCTCACATAAACGTTGATGTTGAGTTTGGCCATCACAGCGAAAATAATAATTTGATGCCCAACAACGATGTGCTTCCTGCCGATCCCAACGATATCCTAGTTGCCGATCGGTCGATGCCAACTCGCAGGTGGCCATCAACGTCAATTTGCCAACTGATCCCGAAACAGTATTCACGGGGTACCCCAACCAACCGCTCGCGAAGCACCCGAAGGTTAAGGTGATCGGGACGCCCCCAACAGGGTTGAGCCCGAACAATCCCCGAAAAGCACCCAAAGAGATGAACAAATTGTCGAGAGACTGGGTGAAGTCGAGCCCAGGGTAAATCTCGAGATAATAAAAATGCTCGAAGCGTTGACGAAATGGGTGGAGTCACGTGAGAAAAAGATTGAGGCTAATGACAAGAAGGTGGAAACATACAACTCCAGGGTCGATCAGATCCCAGGGGCACCCCAGATATTGAAGGGACTGGACTCCAAGAATTTTATCCAGAAGCTCTTTCCTCCGAGCGCGACACCAAAGCCAATCCCAAAGAGGTTTTGTATGCCCGACATCCTTAAATATAGTAGAACTACGGAACCAAACGAGCATGTAATCTCCTATACATGTGCAACCAAGGGGAACGATTTGGAAGATGATGAGATCTAGTCGGTGCTACTGAAGAAGTTCGGGGAGACTTTGTCCAAGGGAATAATTGTATCACAACTTGCCCCCAAATTCCATTGACTCATTTGCTATACTTGTAGATGCTTTTGTAAAGGCCAATGCCTGGGCCATTAAGGTCGAGACCAGAATGTCAGATCTCTTCAAGGTCAAACAAAGGGATAATGAGATGCTCAAAGAGTTTGTGCCAAGATTCCAGATTTAACGGATGGACGTACCACCGATTGTAGATGATTGGGCCATTTAGGCATTCACTCAGGGACTTAACCCCCGAAGTTCCTTGGCCTCACAACAGTTAAAACAGAACTTAGTGGAGTACCCGGCGGTAACCAGGGCCGACGTCCACAATAGGTATCAATCGATGATCAGGGTCGAGGACGACCAACTCAGGGTCTCTTTTAGATTTTTTTACCCCATTAGGTTCGATGATAGATCTAAGATAGACATTGATCAAGATCCAAGACCGATCTGAGATCAGTATCAACCATATAGCGCAGACTGAAGGGGAAATGGATCCGGGTGTCGCCCTACAAGGAATGAGAAGAGAAGAGATCGAGGACCCGGTAGCCGAGGTCTGATGAGCAAAAATGTGTTCAACAGACCGCTCGAGAGTAGGGAAGCATCGAGATTATTGGAGTACAACTTTAACGTGGACGCTGCCAGCATCGTGCCAGCTATAGGGCACATCAAAGAAACAAAGTGGCCCCGACCATTGCAGTCCGACCCTACCCAGAGAGATCCTAATTTAATGTATAAGTATCATGGCACCCATGGTCACAGGACCGAAAATTGCTGACAGTTGAGAGAAGAAGTTTCCCGGTTATTCAACAATGGGAACCTCTGAGAATTCATCAGTGAAAGAGCCAAAAATCACTTTAGGGATACCAACAAATAAGTCGAATGAGAGGAGCCTCAACAATTGATCAACATGATTATCGGAGGGGTCGATGTTCCCCAAGGACCAATGATAAAACACACTAAAGTATCTATCACGAGGGAAAAGTGCACCCGGGGTTATAGTACGGAGGGAGCCATTTTGTTCAGCGTCGAAGACGCTGAGGGCATCGTACAGCCTCATAATGATGCAATGGTAATATCCATAATTATCAATAAATCTCGTGTTAAACATATGCTGATTGATCCAGGTAGCCCGACCAACATCATCAGATCAATGGTCTTAGAGCAATTGGGGTTATAGGACAAAATTGTACCAGCAGTCCAGGTATTGAACGGATTTAACATGGTGTGTGAGACCACGAAAGGAGGGATAACCTTGCTAGTGAACACCACCGGGACAATCCAAGAAATGAAGTATTGAAGGGGACATGAGGTACAATACTCTATTCAGAAGGCCATGGGTCTACAACATGAGGGAAAAACCCTCAACCCTACACCATAGCGTTGAAGTTTCACACACGTGGGGAGTCAAAATGGTCTACGGAGAGTAGCAAGCCACACGGGAGATATTTGTCGTCGACGAGGTAATCCCGATGCTCGCAGTTTTGACATCAAGGAGCACGGAATCGACTAAAAAGGAAGAGATTAAATAGCAATCATTGATACCGGCCTCGGTCAAACCGAATAAACAGGAAGAACGAGGAGCAGACGAAGAGGACAATTATGTTGTCGAGATCATTCATAGCTCCTGATGACATCGTTGCCTCCAAATCAACGGTTAAAGAATTGGAACAAGTCATATTAATCGAGCATCTGCCGGATCAAAAGGTATACCTGGGCATGAGATTAACCCCCAAGCTTAGGAAAAAACTTATTGATTTTCTTAAAGCTAACGTCGATTGTTTTGCTTGGTCCTATCTTGACATGACAGGGATTCCACCGGAGGTAACCACTCACAAGCTGAGTTTGGACCCGGAGTTCCATTCGGTCAAGCAGAAGAGGAGACCACATCTCGAGATTAAACACACATTTATCAATAATGAGGTATCCAAAATTCTAAAAATAGGATCCATCCGGGAAGTTAAATACCCGGATTGGCTAGCTAACATAATGGTAGTACCTAAAAAAGGAAATAAACTTAGGATGTGTGTGGATTATAAAGACCTAAATAAAGCATGCCCTAAGGATTCTTTCCCTTTGCCTAACATCGATCGAATGATCGACGCGACAGCCGGGCACGAGATACTCAGTTTTCTCGATGACTACTCCGGGTACAACCAAATTCAGATGGACCCGGACGATGAAGTAAAGACCTCTTTCATAACCAAATTCAGCACCTACTACTTTAACGTCATGTCATTTGGATTAAAGAATGCAGGTGCCACCTACCAACGCCTAGTAGTCAGATGTTTGAAGAACAAATAGGAAAAGCAATGGAAGTTTATATCGACAATATGTTGGTCAAGTCCTTACTAGCAGAAGACCATTTGAAACATTTGCAGGAAACCTTCGACATACTAAGGAAACACAATATGAAGCTAAACCTGGATAAATGTGCATTAAGGAATGGTTCAGGTAAATTCCTCGGGTTCATGGTATCAAATCGGGGGATAGAGATCAACCCCGACAAAATAAAGGCCATAGAGGAAATCACCATAGTGGACAATGTCAAGGCAGTTCAAAGGTTGACCGGACTTATAGCCGCATTGGGCTGGTTCATCTCGAAGTCTTCAGACAAGAGCCATCAATTCTTCTTGCTATTGAAGAAGAAGAAAAATAACTTTTCCTGGGCTCTGGAATGCCAGCAAGCTTTGGAAGAACTCAAACGGTACCTGTCGAGCCCACCTCTGCTGCACACTTCGAAGGCAGACGAATAGCTGTACCTATACTTGGCAGTGTCCGAGGTGGAGGTTGTCATACCTCCTTTTTACTACACCCGCAAAGGGTATAAAGGAGAGTTTTTTCCAACTTAAAGTGACAATCGAAACGGGATTATTTATTTATTAAATTCAGAGTCGCCACTTGGGATAATTTATAGTGTCCCAAGTCACCGGTTCAAATCCCGAATCGAGGAAAAGATTGACTCTGTATTACAGTCTGCGAGCAGAAATTCGGGTAAGGAATTCTGTTAACCCGGGAGAAGGTGTTAGGCATTCTCGAGTTCCGTAGTCCTAGCACGGTCGCTCAATTGCTATAATTGGCCTAATTATATGATTTTTAAACACTTTTAAACCTATGTGCATTTTAACTTTTTAACCACTTTTATTTGATTAATTAAAGGAAGAATGTAACGTCATTTAAAATATGTTTCAAACCACGTCACATAAATGCACCCGCAGTCCGCAACACATTTTATCTAATATTGAGATTTGGATTTGGGACACATAAATGTGCACCCGAGTTTAGGAAGGTAAATTATTAAAACAACGCGCCTAAAGTAACTACGCGTTTGCAACTTTGCGAGGGCCATGGAAATTTACCTAGGTGGCACGCCTCGAATTCTAACGAGTTAAAATTGATTATCCGAGGGCCATGGGCTATGTGATTCAATTGTGCGAATAGCGCGCCTCAATTTCTTTAAAGAAGAGATATGGATTCAACTATAACCATCGAACACTGGCGAATTCCACAAATATTAAAGTGTTATACATATCTTCACAATTATCACCAACACTCAGTATTACCATGTTTTGCTGTTCCACAAATTAAAGCAGTCCAAGTAACCCCATTTCAATCTTTCAACATATCGCAAACCAGAGAAACAAAATTCAAGAATCCACAACTATACCCATTTGAATACAGCTCATTGCAACTACTATAGAAATGGGTGAATTAGCGAAATGAAATGTGAGCCAAGATTGAATGAAATCAAATCGTAACTCTCTATCCAGCTTAGTGTTCTTTTCTTTTTGGCATAAAGTCTAATCATTAGACATTAGAATAAATCCAAAGTAGAAGATATATATACAAAACATAAAATTAGTATACACAAAAAAAAAAGCTTACAGGGACATTTCATTTACAGAACCCAAATCCCAAACTTAAAAAAAATGCAATCGAGCTTAAATCGTCAAGCAACCAATAACAACATTCTACTCAAAGTCAAGAATTAAAATTGACCCATGTAAGTATCATTTTTTCATCTACTTCACTATTTCAAATACTTTTTCAAATTGAAACACAATACGCATTGCTGGATATTAGATTCCTAGCGAAAATTTGAGCAAAACTTAGAAAAATAACATAAGGATTTAACAATTTAGTGAATCAACACAAACATAATACAATAAGGACTCGAAACTTACCTAAATCAAACAAAGGAGGGCACTAAAGTGAGCCAAATGATGGCAGAAAACAGCAGCTATAGTTGGACCTTGGTTCAGTTCCGAGCAACAAAAGAAACAAAGTAATTTTCGACCCAGCTGAGCTTCTTCGAGCCTCAAATTTGCCTTTCAAAAACCCTTGTATATGTTTATGAGTTTTTCATTTTTGCTCCTGATTATTGTTGCTAGGGATTAAACCATTAGGGTAGGGAGTCTGTTCTTTGTGTGTTTTTGGAGAAAATCCAAGAAGAAAAAAAAGCTCCAGTGTTTCGCCGTTTGGTCTTAGATGGAGAGGTCTATATTTGTGTATTTTCAGCTATATAGAAAAGTTTTAGGTTAAGGGGTATGAGTTTGGTGTTATTGGGCCTTAAAATTGGGCCAAAGACTAAAAACAAAGAGCTACAAAATTCATAAAGACGGGATAAACCAGTCTGACATTAATTCCTCCTTCTAAAATTATATACAATTATAATATAAAAATATAAAACTAATTTTATGATTAAACTAAACTATATTAAGACATGAAACTATTTTTGTGTTTTCAAGATTATATAAAAATAAAAATAAGGTACTATTTTTGTATATGTTTTATGAAAGATATATAAACTAAAAGCGACTAAAAAGAAGAAATATTTTTGTAATTTTTATTTTGTGATGAAATAAAGTAAAAGAGTCAAAATTAGCTGAAATAGCTATATTAGGCCTAAATTAACTATTTACGTGCTAAAATATAAAAACTCTTGGGGAGAGTAAAAATCACATGTCTACAGTTGCCCCTCTTTGACTGGAAATATGAAGTATTTTCAGACAAAAAAGGACTAGACAGGTTTTTTGATCCGACTCTTATTTGGAGAGACTAAAACTGAGAAAAGGGGAATGTGACCGAGCCCTGGTATCCGAGCTGCCTACATATCCTTGGCTATAAAGGAATCAGGCCACATGTAGTTCAAAAAGTTTCGGTAGCTGGGACTACCATGAAGCTGTGATTTCACTGTTGCTACTTTGCTGCTACTGCTTACTGACCTCTTTATTACACCATGACAAAGTAAAAGAAGCTAGACTAAACTATGATCTAGGAATTACGAAAGTCCTATCTATATCTTCAAACTTGATCTTGTGATCCTTGTTGCCTTGTTGACTTGTATTCTCCCGGTGAAGTCCTTTTATTGCCAACTTGAATTGTAATCTGAGATGCTTTCCCTTTTCTTCAGGTGGACGCCTGATTGCCGAACTTGAACTATATTCCCGTGCTCTCCAGGTGGGCGTCTGACTGCTGAACTTGAACTGTATTCTGGTGCTCTCCAGGTGGGCGTCTGACTGCCAAGACTTGAACTGTATTCCCTTGTTCTCTAGTGGGCGCCTGATTGCTGAAACTTGAATGTATTCCTTTGTTCTCCAGGTGGGCGCCTGATTGCTGAAACTTGAATGTATTCCTTTGTTCTCCAGGTGGGCGCCTGATTGCTGAACTTGAGATGTATTCCCTTGTTCTTTAGGTGGGCGACTGATTGCTGAATTTGAAATGTATTCCCTTGTTCTCCAGGTGAGCGCCTGATTGCTGAACTTGAAATGTATTCCCTTGTTCTCCAGGTGGGCGCCTGATTACCAAAAAATAGACAAAACAAAGAAAACTTCTACGCTAGTTTGGTGTTGGGTGCATCTGTGAGTGTTAAATTGAATCATGTTACAAGAAAATCTCAAAGAATTTTAAAGTTAGATCCCATTATCCAGGAGGGTCCTGAAAACTCCTAGTTATATGACAGTTTTAAATCTAAGTTATATTTCCTAAAGGTACGACTTCCGCTAAATCTTATTATCTATGAAGACCTTAAAACTAAATCCCATTATCCAAGAGGGTCCTGAGAATTTAAAAACTGAATCCCATTATCCAGAAGGGTCCTGAAAACTTAAAAACTAAATTCCATTATCCAGGAGGGTCCTGAGAATTTTAAATTAAATCTCATTATCCAGGAGGGTCCTGAAAACGTAAAAACTAAATCCCATTATCCAGGAGGGTCCTGAGAACTTTTAAAAATTAAATCTCATTATCCATGAGGGTCTTGAAAATTTAAAATTAAATCTCATTGTCCAGGAGGGTCCTTAAATTTTAAAATTAAATCCCATTATCCGGGAGGGTCCTAAAAATTTAAAACTAAATCCCATTATCCAGGAGGGTCCTGAAAACTTAAAAACTAAATCCCATTATCCAGGAGGGTCTTGAGAACTTTTAAAATTTAATCCCATTATCCAGGAGGGTCCTGATAATTTTAAATTAAATCCCATTATCTAGGAGGGTCCTGTGAATTTTAAAACTAAATCCCATTATCCAGGAGGGTCCTGATAATTTTAAATTAAATCCCATTATCTAGGAGGGTCCTGTGAATTTTAAAACTAAATCCCATTATTCATGAGGGTCCTGAAAACTTAAAAACTAAATCCCATTATCCAGGTGGGTCCTGAGAACTTTTAAAATTAAATCCCATTATCTAGGAGGGTCCTGTGAATTTTAAAACTAAATCCCATTATTCATGAGGGTCCTGAAAACTTAAAAACTAAATCCCATTATCCAGGAGGGTCCTGAAAACTTAAAAACTGAATCCCATTATCCAGGAGGGTCCTGAGAATTTTAAACTAAATCCCATTATCCAGGAGGGTCCTGAGAACTTTTAAAAATTTAATCTCATTATCCAGGAGAGTCTTGAAAATTTAAAATTAAATCTCATTATCCAGGAGGCCCCTGAAAATTTAAAATTAAATCCCATTATCCAGTAGGGTCCTGAGAACTTTTAAAATTAAATCCCACTATCCGGGAGGGTCCTAAAAATTTAAAATTAAACCCCATTATCCATGAGTGTCCTGAAATTTTAAAATTAAATCCCATTATCCAGGAGGGTCCTGAAAATTTAAAACTAAATCTCATTATCTAGGAGGGTCCTGAAAACTTAAAAACTAAATCCCATTATCTAGGAGGGTCCTGAGAACTTTTAAAACTAAATCCCATTATCCAGGAGGGTCCTGAAAATTTTAAATTAAATCCCATTATCCAGGAGGGTCCTAAAAACTTAAAAACTAAATCTCATTATCCTGGAGGGTCCTGAGAATCACAAGTCAAACCTGTCTGGTACTTGCTTTTCCCCCTTACGGAGGGTTTCTTTAAAACAAACAAAATTTTCTACCCCTGTTTCAATCAAAGAAAAATCTTGTCAGTCTAAAATGCGGTAGTTGGTTTGTGGCCTTGACTTTGAGGACGATTGCTCCTCCACTTCCCATGATAACTTTGACTTCCACTCGAAGACCTTGCTAACCACTTTCTCTGTCATCCTTATCACAGAAAATACCTCTTCTCCATTCAGACCCAATATCCTCTATCTGTTGCATTGCTCATGAACTGACATTTACCAAACCTTTGTGTCTCACATGAATCCCAAAGCACGTCAATTGCCACACATTTAGTGTGTATGTTGTTCTTTCTCGACTTAAACCACTGGCCTTGGCCTTGAGGTCTATTGCTCCTTCACTTGCCATGATAACTTTGATTTCTGCTTGGAAGACCTTGTTTGTCACTGGTTAACCACTTTCTTTGTCAATCTTATCACAGAAAATACCTTTGATCCGTTACCCTACACCCTCCATCTGTTGCATTGTTCATGAATTGATATATACAAAACCTTTGTGTTTCACCGAAAATACCTTTGATTCATTCACCTAACACCCTCCATCTTGTTGCATTGTTCACGAATTGATATGTACCAAACCTTTGTATTTCACAAGGATCCCAAAACATGTTGATTATTACCAGCTCAATGCGCTTGTTGTTCTTTTCTAACTTATGACATTTTGATGTGTTAGCCAGACCCCGTTTTGTGCAATTGGACAACTGGTGGCAAATTTTGAAGTCATTTCTCACTTGTTCTAACCGCACAGACTCAGGAAGAGGAAGTGAACAAGACAAAAAGAACAGAGTAAAGGACAATGAAAAAAAATGATTCCTAACGAGAAAACTACATAGTAGAAACCTATCAGTTGTGGATACCAACTCTAATGACCATGACATGCACTTGTGGCCTATTCTGTCAAGTAAGCATGATGTTCAACTCTTGTTGTACCTTTAAACCGTGAAACTGAGCTTCAATGCTCCGATTATCTAATCTGATTCACAATCCTTATTCGACTTGTAGTGACCGGAGAGTTTTCACCATCAAACCTCTCTCATTTGTTCTTTCTCTCAACTTACCGTCGCCTCAAGGTGCCCATGAAGGTTTTTACCAATAAGACTCTCTTATTTTTATTTCTCTCAGCTCTCATCGCCTTACGATGCCCGTGAAGGTTTTCACCAATAAGACTCTCTCATTTTTCATTTTTCCTTGCTTGGACCGGAGTGCTGCCCCTGATATGATTCACCTCTACTCGCTTGACTTGGCATCTCTCGAAAACTGATCGGAAGGTCTTTCTTTGGACCGTAATGTGGGCTTTTAGATAGGGTTAGAAAGAAAGGGTATCAAAGGCTCGAAACAATTCAAATGGGTTCGAAATTACAACTTTCAGAATCAGATTTCCTACAACAACCACAACTTCTGCCCCAGTTTCTTTGCTTGGGGACTTTTGGATTTTTATTTTGATGGGACCGAACCGTGAGGCTGCCTATGTATCCTTAGAAGGAATCAAGTCGAACGTAGTTCATGGAAACCTTTGTTTTTGTTTTTCCTTTTTGTTTTGTTTTCTCTTCCTTTTCCTCTCTTTTCTTCATTTTCTTTTCTTTTCTTTACTCTTTTTCCATTTTTGCTTCTCTTTTTCTCTTTTTTTTTCTTTTCTCTCCCCTTTTCTGTATCGCATTTCTAAACTCTGCTTCTGATTCCAAAAGAGGGATATGAAAGAAAATAAATAAGGCTCAAAGGGGTGACAAAGGATAAAGTGTTTTTAGATAGCAGAATAAAATGCCTTCGTCATTCCAATCTTCAAAGCATGCCAAACACAAACAACACAATTAAACAAACCAAAGAAATCATACGTAATATCTTTTGACTTCATCAGAATTGATAGTCATATCTACACATTTGCCTTCTATATCTGTTAAATACGAAGCACCATTGGACAACACTCTCATTACGATGAACGACTCCTGCCAATTTGGGGCAAACTTGCCTTTAGCTTCAACCTGATGCGGCAGGATGCGTTTCAATAGTATTTCTTTTGTTCTATCTGCCCCAGTTTCACAATTCGGGTTTGAAGTGATCTCAAAATGCCTTTACTTTTTCCCTCAAATGTCGCTATCATCTTCAAAATTATTTCATTG